CATGGTTGACGGTGGTTTTCTCCTGCACAAAGTTGTGTTTGAAAAGAAGACATTTGGTCAAATTTGTGACAGCTACGTTGAATATTAAAAAAAAAAAAAAATACGGCAACTGCAGCATTAGTCTTCGATGGCTACTCTGATGTACAGAAAGGAGCTAAAGGAATGGAGCACTTTAGAATATCCAAGACGCAGTCAATGCGCAGTCACTTGACATCTAAGTCAATGACAAAATGGTGTCCACGGTCCCCCAGGAGAAATTTCTGTCTAATACCAACAACAAATGCAGATTCATTAGCATGCTTCTACAGAAATTCAGTGCAGCCCAAATTGACACTAAGCAGGTGAATATGCAGACACACTGATTGTGCAAAGAGCCCAATCCCTTGCTGCAGAGCACGAAACTGTTGTAATTGTTGGAGAGGATATAGACCTGCTGGTCATTATAATTGGAACCATGACTTCTCCCAATGTATATTTTTTGAAACCAGGCAGAGGAAAAAATCTTCCATCTGTTTACCATCCTCCAAGCGCCATCGAGAAATGCCTGGTAGAACATATACTATTCATACATGCTCTCAGTGGTTGTGACTCCACATCTGCTCTTTTTAAATAAAGGCGAAGATTATGAAAACCCTTACATCGACATATTTTTTTAATTTACGTTGCTGATTGGTTCAATCTAATTAAGAATTCTGGCGGTTCAGATAAAATGCTACAACTTTTGTATTTACACCTTTTATCTATCACCTGTATAAACTCAAATTTACATGGCAAGGTAATATCCTATGCAGATGATACTGCTATAATATTCATCAGGGATACTTGGCAAAAAGCAAAAGCAAAGTTTCAGCAAGGTCTATCATCGCGGTTAGAGACTTTTTAGATAACTTTAAAGCTTGAACATTGAATGACAGAAAATCAAAATACATTGCATTCTCTATAGAATGATAGCAATAGACCTAAGTATTAACAAATTACCATACAGGTCTTTACTTTCAGTATGTGTGTCATGTGTTCTTAGTCTACTATAAATGCTAACAGAGGTATCCTGACCTCTCAGTCTACATCCGACGTTTCAGAAACCCTCTTGCCACATTAAAAAAAATTCGGAGGCAAGGGAAAATTTTCTAGTGGCCTTGTATGGCGGAGACTAACGCACCACTTCAATAAATAAGCTGCGGTATACAAACAGTTTGTGTCAACAGCATTCAAGATTAGCGGAAATGTAGCATCCATCCCCCCTACTAAAGCTGTGGCTGGAAAATATTCAACCACCTGTGCAGTGGGGATGAAAAATTATTAAAGGCAACTTGATTCCCATCACCCTTGAGCCCCCAGCCCCAGAGAAGTTTCTGAAACTCATTCCCTGTGAGTGTCAGAAAGGCTGCATGCAGATGCAGAAGAATTATGTTACACTGCTCCAGACTTTGTTTGAATTGTGAAGAAAGCTGCTCCAATATAGAAATACTCAGTGATGATGACGATCAAGACTTTTCGCCTAAGAAGATCGATGGTAATTTATACTATTACAAGAAATTATTATCCTAATCTAGTATTTTTCACTGTGAATTAGAAATTATAGCTTCACAAATCAAAATGTCATAATAATTTTTTTTTTTCCATTAGGAAGACCAGTGCCCATCCTCCAAAAATTAAAGCAGTCTACTGCCCGGACAGGAGAAGAAAGAAAATCTTATGTTGCTCAACATATACAGCCTGGTACATCTAAACGGAATATTTGCGAACGCAATCCTGAGCCTTATACAAGTATTGACAAATTTTGTCTATAATGAACATAAACGACATGGATTTAATTATAGTCTCCATTTCCTTTTACTAAAACCTTAGTTAGAATAACGTTTTCCAATTTTTTTAGAGAAAAGTCAAGAAATGCCATTTTTTCAAAACGATCTAACCACGTTATGGATTGTCGAGACTTTAGAGTAATTAAACCTACTTGTAGGAAATTTCGTCTACTTCAATTTGGTATATCATAGTTATAATTAAAAAACGCTTAGTTTTCGAGTTATAGTTAAAAACCTGAAAAAAGTGCCAAAAATTTAGGGTTTTTTGCAATTTACGTTGTGAAGCCGACGTCTGGCGTATTGGCAAACCTCGGATTCGGGTTCAGCGCCCCAAAAAACATACAGAACCGGTGAGAAAAAAACTTCTCAATTTTTTTTCTGGAAAAAACCCTGCTTAATGTATAGGGTGCTGCAATTTGGAGTGTTTCAACAGGAAAAACATACTTCCAGACCAGATAGAGGAAAATTGACTTAGATGTCATGGGATTGATTTTCGAGAAACGTCCATTGTCAAAAACCGTATCGCGATATCTTCAATGGTACCATTAATACAGGGCGATTTTCGATTTTCCCCTTATATGAAAAATGGCTATAAGTTTTTTGTTTATCAATTTTTTTTATTTCTATGAAAACATCTTTGGAGTATTTTTTTGAGCACAATCCAGTGGCGTACTCAGTTTTTTTCTATTTCTCTCCCATTTTGAGATATTGATTATAGTTCGATTTTTTTTAAATGGGACACCCTATATATTAATATCTCATTGGATAGCGCTACTTTTACTGATTTCAATGATATAAAGTTCGATAGGTTTATCTCTAACAGTTTTCGAGAAAAAGAATTATATCTGCTTCAGCCATAAGAAATAATGTGTTAGAAAGAGACCTTCCTCATTTTCCTTACACATATAAAATCCTTCTCTAACACATTGGTCCTTACGACAAAAACATATATAATTTTTTTTCTCGAAAACTGTTAGAGATAAACCTATCGAACGTAATATCTTTGAAATCAGCAAAAACAGAGCTATCGAATGAACTATTAATATGTAGGGTGTTGCATTTAAAAATATAGGACTTTGGTCGATATCTCGAAATTGGAGCGATATAGAAAAAAACTGAGTTCGCCACTGGATTTTGCTCAAAAAAGTATTTACATAATGTTTTTACAGAAATAAAAAAAATTGATAAATAAAAAACTTAATCTTTCATAATGGGGGAAAATCGAAAATCGCCCTGTACTAATGCTACCATTGAAGATATCGCGATAAGATTTTTGACAATCGACGTTTCTCGAAAATCGATTCCATGACGTCTAAGTCAATTTTCCTCTATCTGGTCTGGAAGTATGTTTTTCCTGTTAAAACAAACCAAATTGCAGCACCCTGTACAGGGTGGCCCGTTTAAGAGGGGCCTATACCTTATCTCGAAATCTACCAGGGCTGTAAAAAAAAATCAAATACAAAAGTTGTTCTAATAAAATTATCTAAATTTTTTTTCTATTGTTTTTGTTGTCACTCTACTGTATACAGGGTGGACAAATAAAATTTCATTTTTTCAAATAAAACACCCTATATTTTCATAAACTTTTACATAGTCCTTTGAAAGACAAATCCAACGATATACTGGACATGTGTCTGTGATATACCGTTTCGAACTTATCAACGATTATCTTCAGGATTTGGGGTATCTTTCAACACTCATTTTTACGTTACTCGTAAACTTTTAAAACTTTTTTTTGCATGATATTTTTTATAAAACTATGCTTTTCTTTGGACTATATTTAAATTTGAGATATTTGTTTAAAAAACGCGGTGTTGCCACATTTCGCAAAATGTTACGCTTTTCAATTTTTTTAAATGGGACCTCCTGTAAATTTTCGAGTTTTTAGATAGCCCTTCAAAAGACAAATTTAACGATATACTGGACATGGATATGTGATGCACCGTTTCGGCCTGATTGGCGTTTATCTTCAGTTCTAGCACAATATCTCATGTCATCCCTCTTGAATGAAAAAAATGTCTAATTTTGCAGTAGATTAGTTGAACTAGTGCTTTTTAATGGTGGCATTATTGAATAATTTTTTATACATTAATAAAGCACGGTAATAGACGGTTGACGGAAAATAGACATTTTGATTCAACAGGCGACTTGGACATGAAATATTGTGCTAGAACTGAAGATAATTGCCAATCAGGCCGCAAGTGATGCACCGTCACGCAGACCTATTTCCAGTATATCGTTGAATTTGTCTTTTAATGGGCTATCCAAAAACTCGAAAATTGACAGGAGGTACCATTTAAAAAAATTGAAAAGCGTAACATTTTGCGAAACGTGGCAACACCGCGTTTTTTTAAACAAATATTTCAAATTTCAATATAGTCTGAAGAAGAGCATTATTTTATAAAAAATATCATGCAAAAAAAAGTTTTAAACGTTTATGAGTTACGTAACAATGACTATTAAAAATTACCCTAAAGCCTGAAAATAATCGCTAATAAGTTCGAAACCGTATATCATAGACACATGACCAGTATATCGTTGGATTTGTCTTTCAAAGGGCTATGTAAAAATGTATTAGAATATAGGGTGTACCATTTAAAAAAATTAAATTTTATTTGTCCACTCTGTATATAGTAGAGTGACAACAAAAACAATACAGTAAAATTGTAGATAATTTCATTAGAAACAACTTTTGTATTTAAGTTTTTTTTACAGCCCTTGTAGATTTCGAGATAAGGTATAGGCCCCTCTTAAACGGGCCACCCTGTACCAAGGGGTAATATAACGAACTAATTCTGGGGAAAGAAGACAAACTTGCTAGATGGCAAGAATACATTCAAACACTTTTCGAAGACACCTATAGACAATCAAGTACTTAACTGAAAATGAAAAAGTTCCAGAAATAACTAAAGAGTGTAACGCGGCGCATGCCCCGTATGGCCGACTTGACGCTTGACAGACAGTAATGGCGCGCGATTCAAAATTCAAGTTCTTGTTAAGACACCCTTTATTTAAGCGTTCTCGTCAAAATTGTCCATATTTCTGATTGATATTATGGAGTCAAAAGCCTTGTTATAATCAATGAATGCCAAACATAGGTCAGTTTGATGTTACGAAGTCATTGAATATAACCTAGAGTACGGAGTTGACAAAAAGTTCGATTTTCGGGAGAGTTGCTGAATCAATATAACATACCTCAAACATAAAAGTATTCACTTCATCTCGCAAATCGGTTCTTGTAAGTGGTTTGCCATCAATACGAGCTTCTAAGAGTAGGTCTAAGAATGCCAAACGCTTTTTAATACCTAAATCGTCGCTTTGATCTTTTGCGTTTTTTTCATTTTCTCTTTTTTCTTGGTCTGCAATTCTTTGCGATATGACACCGTCCACATGCTTATGAATGACCTGCAAAAGAAACAATGATAATTTCATATTCGGGTCACTGATTTATTTACAAATTATTGTCAAATAAATAGTCAATGCCTAGAATTTATTGGAAAAAAATTACTTTTCCTTCCTTATCTTAGCTATAGGATTGTCTAAATTTCGGGCTGTGACTCAAACATTAAAAAAAAAAATTGTACCTATAACTCCTCACCTTTAAAGCCTTGCGTTCCTTAAAATAATTAGGTGTCAATGGATAAACAAAAGGATTGAAAAAGGAAAACGACCGTTCAACGACAATCCTGCACATTTCCTTAATACTCGCTATATAATCTGAATTCTTCTGATCGAGGGCATTTATTTTAACTCCCATGGCCGCTTCTATTATAAATAAAAACTAAAATATTTTTATATTGCCCACAAAAGCTGGCTTACCGCAAATAACGTCAAGTGCGTACAAGGAAACAAGTGGCGAAATATCTACGCTATTTTTACCAACTTCATTTTTCAGTTTAGTAACTAAATTATTACCGACGCTGTTAAATACAGAAATAAACTCTTGAAGAATTGAAAAATGGAACGAGGGCGTTATGACTTTTCTGTGGCTTCTCCACTTTGGGCCTAAAATCACTTGTAATGGCTCTGAAATATTAATTTGGTCTACTGACCTGTACTTGTTAAGAGTCCTTGTCCGAGCCAGCCGTCGAAAAATGTGTACTGGTTTGCCTTTTCTATGTGAGTATTGGAACTTAACAGCAATTCGCAAAATTCATAGTCTACAGTTACTATAATCCAACTAAAGGAACCATTGTGAAGGATCACCGTGTCACCGTATGTTTTTAAATACGAATTCAAATTATCCAGAAAAACTACAATAGAGTTTATATTTTCTCAAATACATTTTTCTAGTTTCTTACCAGTAGATCCTTTCACAAAATCCAACATATTCCCAAACGGAAAAATCGGTTTTGGTCCCGAAATGTTAGTCAAATATTTTGTCGTATCCTTTATTCGGTGCATAATCAAATGCAAAACAGCCAACAACAAAACAAAAGCACTTATAATGCACGCAGTGATTGTTAACATGTTGACGATCAAGTTGACACTATTTTAAAAACAATTTTCCAATAATTACGAACTTGTTTATTTAACATTAGAGTAAGAAACTTATATGAAACGTGCTAATGTTGCCAATATTCTACATTGGACTTAATTATTTATTCGTTTTTAAAATAATTGGATGTGCATTAATCTCAGTAATTATTTGCTTCCTTGAAACTTTGATCTTTTCACTTATAATTAGCACATGCTTGAAAAATATAGTAGCATTAAATCATGGCAGATGCAAAAAGTTTTATATTGGTTTTCGGAACGTACAATTTTCAGACACTTAAGAGCGAGTTATGAGCAATGAGCGACCTACTTTTTATTGAATTTAAACTAGGTAACTGAGATACGGAAAGTTCTCAATTTTATAGAATCTCTACAATCTTTATGGAATAAAAGATACTCAGGCAATGATTTTCTCAAGCAATTACTTTCCCAAGATTGTTAAAATTATTCGATCTGTACCTTTCACATCCTGTTAAGAGAAGGCGCACATTCAGAATCTATCAAATCGGAAAATTTGACTTGATTTATAATTTATTATTTGCGGGATAAACAAAACGCTTTATTTCGTTGCTGAATGGTACGTGAATATTTGATATATTTAATAATAATAATAATAATAATAATAATAATAATAATAATAATAATAATAATAATAATAATAATAATAATAATAATAATAATAATAATATTAAGAAGATGGATGGAAGGACGAAATCGACACAGAAACACTAAACAATGAAAAGCTTGATAACATGCGAATTGATGAAACATATAAATATCTGGGATATCAACAGAACACAAGAATAGATCACATGACAATGGAAAACAACTAACTAAAGAGTTCAAGAATCGTTTAACTCTAATACTAAATACAAAATTAAACTCAAAGAATCTGTTCAAAGCTATCAATACGTTTGCCATCCCGCTACTTACATATTCCTTCGGAATAATTAAATGGACAAAAACAGACCTGGAAAACATAAACATCCTCACAAGATCTAAACTGACGGGGAATAGGAAACTACACCCAAACTCATGTAAAGAGAGAATCACAATAAGCAGGAAGGAAGGCGGGAGAGGGCTAGTAGATATTCACGTACTCCATGTAAAACCTCAGATAATACTTCCACAGCAAGCCAACAAATTCAATAACAAGAATCATATAGATGGCTACAGAAAACACAACTCTACCCAGAAACAGGAGGCTTTATACTTGCCATACAGGATCAGGTGATAGCGACCAGGAACTACCAGAAATATATATTGAAAAATACAGAGTCAAGCGACACATGTAGAAAATGCCACCAACGCCAGGAAACTATTGATCATGTAGTAGGAGGAAGTGAAATACTGGCAGACACGTCATACACAGATAGACACAACATTGCAGTTAAAGTAATACACCAAGCATTGGCCCATAATTATGGCCTAATTACCACAGAAACACCATATTACCACTACACGCCAGACAGTATGAGAAGAACAGAGTTTTCAAACTCTACTACGACATAGATATACGTACGGACAAAATTGTACAGCATAACAGACCAGATCTCACTCTGATAGATAAGGTAAATCAAAACACATATCTAATAGACATAGCAATACCTACAGATAAGAACATCAGCAAAAAGTACGCAGAAAAATTTGAAAAATATACGCCCTTGGCAATGGAAGTTGAAAGAATTTGGAAACAGAAAAAAGTCCACATCATACCATTTATATTGTCCGCAACAGGCAAACACATAAGGCATTCACTCAACATCTAAAACATCTGCAGCTAGATGAAGTCATACATGAGTACATACAGAAAGCCATAATACTAAAAGCATAAAAAAAAAACCGAACTTTCCTGAAGTAGGTCGTAATTTCACTAGGTAGACTTGGTACCCACCCGTCTGCCTAGGGAGAAACCAATGAGAAACCGGTTGAATCCAAAAAACCATTTGAATAATAATAATACTTGACAAATGTCGAACGCAGACCGTCATCAAAGGTAAACATAACACCGCACGAGCTGCGGGATGGAAGGATCCTGGCACCATTACTTGAAAACAAAACCTAAAAATACCTTGTTCTGCAGCAGGAATTGAGAACTGAACACAAAATTATAAAACAATACATTTCCGGAACCTATGTCAACCATGTTACTAACATTTTAAAGGCCAAGTTAAATTCTATAAATACCTTCAAGGCAATAAACACATATGCGGTGCCGGCTCTCACCTTTGGTGTAATTAAGTAAACGAAAACTGACCTGGAGGAATTGGGACGTAAAACAAGAACACTACTTACAAAATATAGAACGGCTCACCCAAGATCTGCTATAAAAGCGTGTTAATCCCGAGAACTCAAGGTGGCCAAGCGCTTATTGATATCGAATATCTACACAAGTAACAAATCGACAATCTCCAAAAATACTTCTACTCCAAAAGAGATTCGAACCCGCTACTATGCTCCATTATCCGGGCTGATAGAAGTTATAATCCAGTAGATTTACAGTCTGCCAACGTAGATATTAACTTGCCATCTAAAACAGAACAGGTTCGTTTACGGATGGGCGCATGGAGGCAGAAGGCCATTCACGGAAAACAGCTTAACGACCTTTCTGCCGAGAATGTGGATCAGGATTCATCTAACCTGTGGCTCTCCAGGGGAGAGTTATTTCCTGAAACTGAAGGTTTCCTTATGGCCAATCAAGATATGGTTCTTCCAACTGCCAACTATAGGAAGCATGTGATGAGGGATCCCGAATTCCGAGACGATAAGTGCAGGAAATGTAAACGAGCTTCGGAGACAATACAGCACAGCACTACTGGCTGTACAATTCTAGCGTCAAATGAGTACCTGCACCGGCTTAACTGTATTGCAAAGAGAATTTCATACATCTGTCAAAACTGGTATTCCAACAATAAATTGACACGTTTTGATTGTTGATTTGAACCAATCAGATTGTAATTACGTGATAATTTGCACTAGTGCAAATTATCAGATAATTGCATACTAACTGGGTTGGAAAACTGGTGTTTTGACATTTTTTGACAAAAAATTTAAATTTTTGATTTATGAAATTCTCTCATTAAATACAACTCGTGCAATGGAAATATATTTATAATTTTCGACAAATTTGCACTCATGCGTTCACCAGCACTCAACATGTTGAGTGATTAGTCAGCGGCTTTGTTGAAAACAGATGAAAATCAGCTCTAGGCCAATCATAACTGTTGTACCTTGTGTATTCCACTTGTCGGAACAAAGCCGTTTACTAATCAGTCAACATGTTGAGTGCTGGTGAACGTGACCTTAGTCATGGAAATCCTATGCAGCTGGATGAGAACACTGAAATATCTTCAATGGAAGATACGCCTTATAAATACCTTGAGATGCTGCAAACCAACAGAATAGAGCATACACAGATCAAAAAAAAATTGATGTGAGACTGCATTCCCTGCTTAAAACACACTTTTCAAATCTTACTAAAGCAATTAACTGCTATGCCATGCCAATATTCCAATCCTTGAACATTCTTTTGGTGTCATCAAGTGGACTACAACGGAACTAAATAAATAACATTAACAGGCTTATACGCACTCGAATGAATAAATTTAGAATGCACCACCCAAGATCATCCATGGAGCGCCAAGAAACCAAGGGAGAAGAGGAATAAAGGATCTGACGTCAGCTTGCAGTGCTCAAATCCAAGGTCTGCCTAGGTGCTTGCAGCACAGAAACGGATCCTTGTTCCACAGCATGAGAATCGCCGATGAAAAGTGTACTCCACTGAATCTGAGCAACCCAGAAGATTTAACCATTAAAAGCCAAAGTGATTATGACAATAATAACAAATGGGCTGAGAAAGAGCTTCATGGCCGGTACCACAGAGATATCAACTGAGATAACGTGGACAAGCAGGCATCATTGGAATGATTGAAAGCTGGTTATCTTATGCCAGAAACTGAGGGATTTTTGATTGCGATACAGGATCGAGTGATCAAAAGAAGAAGCTAGGTAAAACACATTTTAAAAGAAAATAGCACGCATGACAAATGTCGTAAATGAACCAACAGCAAGAGACAATCGAAAACATTCTTTCAGGATGCACAAAACTAGCTGGAAATAAATATATTTAGCAACACAACAAAGCAGCTGCAATTGTATACCAGGAAATTGCGAAGAAACACTCTACTCATTGAAAGTTCAAGCCCATACTACAAATACCAACCACCGCCGGTAATAGATAATGAGATTGTCCATAATTTTTTCGAGGACCTTAGAGAGTGTAGGAAGTATACTGTAAATATAAACAATATAATAAAAAGCATTGAAATGTATACAGAAAGAGTGCGTTTATAGGCCAGGAAAGAGAGGTTGAACCTCGCAAACTCGACACAAGTTCTGTTTTATTTTTTTTCTGGTAGGACAAGGGCTGCTTATTATGGGTCTAACTTTTTCCAACAAAATTTCACCCTGGAACATCTCCTTTCATCCCCCTAAAGGTGTTTTTTTTGTGGTTTTTCCGAAACGTAGCGCTTCTGATGAGTTTTACAAAAAAATACTCTATTAGCAAATTAAAAAGGACTAAATTCTCTACAATTTATCCAGCGACAGCATATGTCTATCACCAACCCTTTAGTCGGGGTGGCATGGCGCTGTAAAGTTGAATGACCTTGAAAAAAAGATGTTTTGGATTTTTTTTTTTTTTACTGAACAGTAAAGCGAATACACCACAAACTATAAAGCAAATACTCATAAATAATTGGCCGATTTTTTGGTATATGTTTTATTTAAAAATAGTAACCCGTTTAAGATATACAGGGTGTTGAAATTTAAACAACCCCCTTCCATATCATCTGGAGGGCTAATGCTAGGCTGTTCAAATTTTCAGGGATTATTGATGTTAGAATGATATTGAAAAATTCGTTTAATGCACCCCTATTTTCCATCTGGAACCACCCCAAAAAAAATAAAATTAAAAAAAAAAATGCCTTTTTTTTCATTTTCTCGCACACAATGCCCTCCATGTGAATG